ATTACATTAATTTTAAACTGTTCTTTCCTGGAAGACAGACCTCTGTTATGATGACATGAGGTGATGCATGAATTGATGACTGACATTTTTATTTAACTTCTTCAATCACAACAGTATATTTGAACATACACAATAGTTTATTTTTAGCTTACAAACATCTGAGCATAAAGTGCTGACAAGGAACCCTGGTGTAAACATTAAAATGAAAGTCAGTACAATGTGCAGATTGCAGAAATATACATAAACAAAATCAGTGGCTTTACCACACTCAGTTTTTCGACATCTGTGAACTACTAGACAGTCATTCAATTAAAAAATAATATTAAATAAATAAAACTAATAAATAAAAAATACACACATCTTACTGATCTCTGCAGTCAGTAACATTACACATAAAGTGCAAACATAATAGCAATTGTATAAACACACACACAAACACGCCTTTAAAATTTAAAGGCGTGAAATTGGACGGTCTAGTTCTGATTAGCGTCACCGCTGTCTCGGTGGAGTTTAATAAACTCGGCCGTCTGCTTCTTGCTATCTAAAATATAACCAGACACTGGTGTAAATTCTCGACTGTCTCATACTTCTGTTTAATAAGTTTTCTGTTTGACGTTTAGTCAGCTGTGTGAAAACCAAGGAGGAACCCACCCGGGGGACTAATAAAGTTTTATTTTATCTAATCTAATAACTTTAATCTCAGCCAAACCGATTTACTCACGAACAAACAAAACACTGAAAAAAGCCCAACAATAACATTTTTAGGTTGTCTAAGTGACTTATATATTACGTTTAACCCGAGCAGCGAAACTCCGCGGTGATCTGAAAATGATGTGCCGGGAGTTGTGCCGTTCTCGGCCGCATCAGTAACCCTCGAGCTCCCGGCTAGCTGTCGAGCTGGTGGGTAGCAGACGCCTCTGAAAACGTCGAAGCACTTTTGCAAATATGGGATATCTTGATAAACCGAGCAGATATTTGATGTTTACACAACTACTTTCTCGCCTGAAAATATGTTAAAAGTTTATTTTGTGACCCAGAAAGATTAGTATGAGTAATTTTAAAACTTAGTAGCGGCCGCCATTGTTGGAAACTGGAGTTTGGCTGGGCCGCGCTATGAATTCTGGGATATGGTAGTAATTTGGACAGCCTTCGGCACGTTGCTGTGATGTAATCGGTCTACAAATGCGGCCTCAGGAGGATGCAGCCCATGAATTTGGACATGTCCAGAGTATAATCGCAGCCTTTGCGGTTAGAAAATTGCACTTGATCATGTCGCGATATTATCGCAAATGCGATATATCGTTCAGCCCTACATCCATTTAATTTAACATGCTACTGACATGGCTCTGGGGGAAAAACAAATGATGTGGATGTAGTCTTATATCATAGAGTGGAAAGTGAAATTGTGTGTTCAATCTCAAGGTCACACTCTGCGTGGGTGATCTTGTTGCTTTGAGGAAATGATCCCTGAAACAGTGAACATCAGAGGTGGCGGGGCATTCAGTGCTTTGAACTGACCTAGTGTTGCAATGGCACATGAGGATAATTAAAAGATAGGACATGTGTTGGGGAAGCAATAGTTCAATCAGGCATTTTTTTCTTGCTGCTCTTTTGTATTCTCAGAATAAGAGTTGGCATAAAACAGCTTTGGCAGCTTTTTGAAGGGCTGGCAAGCTTTTCTGCAGCCTAGGCTAATGGAGTATTATCTTCCGAGCCAGATTCCCAGCTCCAATTGTGTGTGTGTTTGTGTGTTGGTGTGTGTCATGCACGCTTTGACGCACAGTGTGTGTGGTCTGCCTGTGTGTGTCCTCGGTGCATGTAAATACGGTTTAGAAAATGTTGCAAAATTCATCTTCTCGGTGTCAGTGCCAGGTACGCTTCCAGGTTGGCGTGGTACTTCCTGTGTTACACACGATGCCCTGAGCCGTAAACCCCCTTTTGATAAATTTTCGCTGCAAAAGACCCTTTCCGAGAAGAGCTTCGATTTAGCAGTACAGCGATGAGAAGATTGGAAAACGTTGCTGTAGGCAGGGCTGATGAGATCAAGGCAGAGAAAGTCTGGATCAAAACGGTCTGGTACATTCCTCGCCGTCTGAAAATCAACAGACTTTATTCGGCTTGTTCCATTTTCTAGGGAGTACGTCAAACTTTTCCAAATATCCCTAAATGGTCCCCAGTCTCACCTTTGGAACTACAGTGTATAAGTGCACTGAGTTCTTGCCTCATCTTTCAAGACTAAAAGTTCCTATTGTGTTCTCAGGCTTTGGCGTGGAAAAGAACATTTTATATAAACCCCTAGCTAATTCTTGTCTAGACAAAGCTAGCTGCTAGTGACTCTGAGGGACGGATTATCGCTCTCTGATGAGTGCAACTCCCAAGACATTATAAAGCGATCTCCACACATCCAGGTTGTCGATATTTAGCCTCTTAAGCTCAAGTGAAATGACCTATATGAGGCTCTGACTCCTAAAATGCTTCTTTGTTTTGGTCCCGGAGTGTAAACGACCCACAGTAATAGCTGTGCTTCAGCAATACCACAGATGTCTCTAAAATTGTTCCAAAGCCTGCGCTGTTCTCTCGACAGTTTTAATATACTTAATAATGATGAGATTTGTACGTGAGCCACACATGCTCAGCTGGCTGGCTGTGTGACAGAGCTAGGCTAATCAGAACACTTCCTTTGTTAATCCGTTAATGTGGTACACAGGAAAGTCTGTGGGGAGATATTCAGGTGAGGAGGAAATGCAGCAGGTGCAACCAGCAGACAGTTGTTCCTAATGTTCACACCTGAGGGAATACATTGTTGCACAGAGATGCTATTTGCTGATTTGGCAGCAGTTTAAGTGCAGCACAGTAGAGAATACTTTGTTTGTTTGAGATTTAACTATTTGGTTTTCTGCTCTTACAATATTCCTACTGGTGTCTTAATTTGGTTATTACATATACACATCTGCTGCACTCTCCTTGGTGCCTGAATATTTTTTTCCTCCTCTTCTTTCGTGATGAGGTAGTGCTTCTGTTTTTGACCCATGCTTGACTCAGTAAAAGCTGCCTAAGATATTAAAGATTGTAGCTGCATTTTTCCTATCATGTGATGTTTTCACTTGCATGTAGCTTCTTATACTTTGCTACGTGTATCTTTCAGCAGCGGGAGAGGTTTCTGCGACACAGTGACACTGGTCCTGTAGGCGATTGGCCGTCACCACTAGAATCCTCCACCTCACCTGGATCCAGATCAGTCAAGGATGGCAACGGCTGTGCCAGGCCGAGGGCGTGGAGTGTCCGCACCTTCCAGGACTTCCTCCCTCCTTTGCCACAGCTTCATAAGAAGTGGTGCAGCTGGAACTCCACCAGTCCCTTCACCAAGCTGGTGGACAGCGTCAGTACTACAATCATTACATACAAAATAAAATGAAGCTACTTGAATGGTCAGATTCTACCAACAGACTACGTAAAATATGATTTGGATGAACTGACCCTTGAAGAATGTTCATGAAATGTAAAATGAGCAGTTTAGGAAAACTTTGTGTGAACTAGCAGGATTTTTCCATCACCAGTTGGTTAAATTAAAGTCTGTTAATTGTGAATATCGTTCCAGACTCCATCCAGTTTGGTTGCTAACTGCAGAGGTGGCGACAGCAGGAAGGTTTTCTCTGATGTTCACCTGGAAGGCAAGGCAGATACCAGCACAGCCTCAGACTCATCCATCAGCAATGCCTCCTATCCCCTCACGCAGCCTGCCCAAAGACAGCGGCGCCTCAACTCCACCAGCAACCTGCGACGTCCTCGGTTCACAGGGACGTGTTTTGGCCTCCTCTCAGCGACAGCAGACCTGGCGAAGGCCCCGGGCTCCTCCTCCTCCTCAGAGCCCGTCTCTAGAGCCTCTTCCTCCCCTCAGTGTCAAATTGAGAGTGGCCACGCTCGAGATTTCCCAGGCGAGGGTGATCACATCAGCGTGCCTGTGTTTGCCATCTCTGAGGAAGAGGACCGGCAGCCTCTGGTCCCAGCCGAACACCTGGAGCAGACCTCCGCATCCGCTTTGCTCAACGGGCTGGTTACAGGGACATGGGAAGGCAAGGCGCCTGTTCTAGGAAGCACCAACCTCGGCTCCCAGAGGCCCAGAGCAGAGTGGAGGCTTTGGGGAAGCCAGGTGTCAGGAGGGGTCGGTTCACTCTCTTCCAGCGAGTCGAACGCAGTCGACAGCAGCCAGCCATCTCTCAGTGTGTCCACAGGGCTGTGCAGTGTGACCAACCAGATGTGACACGATGGTGATGAACAGGGACTCTGGTGGGCCAGTTCTGCATTTCTGAACTCTTAGTGTCACTGGGATACATCTCACTTACTCCTTTAATTTCCAAAATCAACTCTTACAGAATTGCATCTCCTGTAGCTTCCTGTTGGTATACACGCATATTATTCTCACTGTAGTTTTTCTATTTTTATAAAGTTTGTTGTTTCGCACCTTTCAGTGAGTTGTAACTCCAACCACGGCACTGTTTTCAGTAGCTCTGTCATTGTGGATTTTCTTCTTCCTGTGCCAGCCTTTTGCTTTCTTTTTTTGATCTTCTTCATGGGGACGCTTCTTTAGTACATCGTAGCAAATACTTAGTTGCATATTACCTAAAAGTGTTCCACACAGCATAGATAATACATTTATATTAATGCTACAACAGTTCAGGCATTCAGTATGTACCCCTAAGACTGATGCTGGATTATAAAAGGGAAATCAAAATAAAAGCATATTAAGTACCAATATACACCATTACATAGCATAAAGACAGAACTAGCATTCACAATAGTATTTAAAAAAAGTCAGTATGAATAAATGTAAAGTTTTAATAAAGGCAAAATCATTTGCAGCTTGTGTTGTTGATTAACTCAGAGCTACACAGAGTAAAAACTTGTTTGAAACCATTCAAAGTCAGAATGAAGATTTGCACTGAAATCACATGTTCAAAGGTTACAGAAACTCAAAGTTAACAAAAGCAAGTCAGTTTTTCTTTCAGGTATCATTTTTTTTTAATGGTAAAGATTAACAGCAAAATCAGATCCATACGCATTTTTCAAAGACAATTGTAGAATACAACAGTGTGAAGAGACTTCTCATAATGAAAACCAAACACTTTCTGCATGTGCCAAGTGCTGCTCACACTAGCAGTTGATTATAGTCCAGACTAATTGTTCAAATAGTGCATTGCAAATAGTTTTTAGGCATCCGAAAATTCGTTCATCTCTCGCACCGACAGATGTGCAGCTCTTAGCTGATGTTACTGTGACAGATGCCTGTTTGTTCCCACTTTCCTGGGAGCTGTGCTGAGGTAGAATGAAACCTGCCTCTTCCATACTGCTGAGCAGCTTGGTCCAGACTTTTGCACACAAAGTGAGTAAATATTTGCCTTAGTATACAACATAACAATCATTCCCCCCAAACACACACCATTCAAGGGAGAATGCAAAGCACTTCTCCAAAGTCCTCTAATACTAATTCCTGATTGGAGCGGCTTGGGACTGTTGTTGGCTTAGGGTCCCCAGATCTCCTGTAGGGAATAATTAAAACTCAGCCACTCTATCAGGGGATCGACCGGGCTTGTGCTGAGGGCCTGAGCTGCTGAGGAATGCTAACGTAGACGCACCATAACCGAGGGGGTAAAAGAAAGGACAAGAAACACCTAAACCACTAACGTAACAAATTCAAATCAGGAGCTCAGGCAGAGGCCAGGGAAACGCCCCATTCACAATTCAATTTTTCTATCAGTACGCTAATGAAAACCTGATGATTCCCAAACGACACGTTTCATCCACATTAACCGCAGAAAATGTTAATCTTAATAAACCACACTCGAGCAACTGGTTCAAATTATCAAGGAGATTTTTTTTCTTGGCTACTGCATTTCTCCTTCACATCTCAGTCTGGAATGGAAGTTTTCATGATTACTCATCAGAGTTTATGAGCCTTACTTATATCCCATATACTAGATACAGACAGTTTTCCCATGATGCTCGATATAATCCAGCAAAATAAAAATGAGCCGACAATATGTGCAAAGATTCTTAGCAGTAAAAAATAAACACTAAGATTTTTTTTAGACTCAGTACGTTTTTGTTTTCTCTTCAAGTCAACTAAAATACTACATAAATGTAGAAAAACAATACCACCAGTGAACTCACACAAAATGTACTGGATGACAGCTAACACCTGCTTTAACAGCTTCTACATCATCCTCCAGCACTTTCTACAGTGACTCTAGGTAAAAGTCAACTAACAGACTACTCCTTCATCCTTGTATTTAAATATAAGGCCCCTATGAGTGTGCACGCTTAAATCTGGCCACACTAAATAAGGCCATAAGAGGCTGATTTGTCAACCTTTACAGTAGACATCAAAAGTTCTCTGTGCATGTTTGCATGCGTTTCTGACACTTGGGTGATGATGAACAAATGGTCACTGGATTCAATAGGACTTAACAGAATTTTGAACCACCAAACATGGTTATACTGCAAATGAAACAAAAACCAGCAGCTTTCTGTACCTGAGGAAAGAACCAGAGAAAAACTGGACAAAATCCAACAAAGTCAACTAAGGTAAGCCTTAATAACACGTAGCTGCAATCACTGCAAATGACAACTTTACAACAGAATGCACTGTTGTGTTTGTATTGGCACAACTGTTCAGTAACTACATGCTGCAGGAGCAGTATGTCAAACCTCCATGCTACTAAAGATTTAACTATTACTAGCTGCTTGGAGTGCAATCTATTTTTCCCTCTGTTCTACGCAACCGTGCATTTCATCACAGATTAGCCCTTCCCACGCATCTCTCGCCAGGCGCTCCTCCTACTATACTTTAATCACTTTGGAGATGATTATCCAGAGCAAAAGCACACAACAGAGGCCTCCAGGCCCTCTGGCAGTGTTACAACTCAATGATCCCCTACCCACAGACAAAGTCCTACACAGATATCACATGGGATTACAAATCTACACCATTATGTGAAAGCTGCTTATACATGGCTTTTCACCTTTGCCTGGGAACAGACTAATGCCCTTGTGAAAAAGACCCTTGGAGGTTGTGCATTTACATTTAATAATATTGTTTAAATTCAGCAGTTTTGGTTCTCTTGGCCCAATAAACATGATACAATTTCTGTTACTTAACACTACTCATCATTGTTTCCCCCTAATGACATCAACATATTTTCATCAGCATCATGTTGCAGGAAGCTCTGGATTCTACACCGAGTAAGAGAGCTAATGAACATCAATACACATAAGGGCTATTAAGCCTCAACTTACCCAGGCTAAGGGGGTACATAGAAAGCGCTTGTAAGCATGTATGGCTCTAATCCATACAGATTGCCTTATTCGCATTATTTTTTTGTTGCACATGCTGGAGGACAGATTTATTAGGGAGAACCTAATTACTTCACCTTACAAATAAATGAACTGCTCAGGCAAATAATAGCTGATTACCCGCTTATGGCAGATAATGTAAGAAAAACAGATGAGAATTTAAATGGCAGCATTGTGTAAATTATCTATTAAGGTCTTCACTCCGAGAAGCAGCGTCACACATTTCTGAACTCTGCAATTAATTCTATATGAATGTGCATAGTGTTACTGAAGAGACACCCTTGCCACTGCTGTACATAGAGACTTGATTGTAATATCTGACTGGGATTATTGCATAAAGCGGTTAGCAACAATGGATGCAAAAAGTGATTGTGCCTCCTCGAATGTACGAGATGTTCAGTTATGTCAATTTGACACGGCTGAGGGAAGACGAGCCACGCTGCTGCTTCAGCTCTTGAAACGCGTCTGCTCACAGATGTGGTTGAATTTCCTGAAATTAAAATAAAGAGGGGGGAAAAGTGGTGTAAGATTTGCTTGTAAAGGCAAATGTCAAATGAGGTGAGAGGAACTAAAACAAGCTGGCACAGATCTTTAAAACATGAAGAATTATCTGGCAGTTTATACAAGGACTCCACCTAGTGGCAAGAGGAGTGAAAAACACCACGGTGTCTTGGAGCGCTAATGTTTTAATCGAGTGTAACGCACCGTTATACATCTTAACGCCATATTGAGAAACACTACTACGTCTGCTAGACAGCCTGTAACAACACCATCAGGATCACTCAAAGATGCCACCATCTCCCAGCGTTTCCAACTGCACTAGAGCTGGGGTCATTAATCTGAGTTTCTGGGATAATTATCTTGTTATTTTAGGCAAATGGGACACTATTTTGTCAAGTGAATGCATTGTGCTTCCATATATTTATTACTAAAATAAATAAGTACTTGGCATTAGAGTATTAGTACCTAACCAAGCTGTAACTATTCAAAATAAGCGTATAAATGCATAGAAGCTGATCTGAAACGGCAAACAAACTCAATTTGCATAATGTTATCCATTTGACGTCCAATATACAATTATCATTATGCATGCATATCATATCAAATAGAAAAGCGGGGCACATATTAGTGTTACAGTGCATTTGCTTTGGGTTGCTGTGTGCAGTTGGGCTCCTTGGCATTATAATGATGACAACAATGACGGGCTTGCACTTCTTGCTGGTCAGCAGCTTTTTTTAATTAGATCTACTGACAGCAAGAAAAAAATCTAAATGGCATTACATTACATAGTGTCAGCAACTTCAGTTTCACTGACTTACGCTGCATGATGCGCCTTCACCTGCGTGCGGCAGTTACGTCCCCAGTAACAGTCTGGACGAGACGTTACAGTAGCTGAAGACAGAATATTTAATGAGGTTAGTACAGCAAAGGTTTAGATATATTTAAAAAAAAAAGTTAAAAAAAAAAAAAAAAAAAAAAGGAGCACTTGAACTTTTGTCACAAATTATTTAGTAGGATTTTCTGACCTGGCAATTCAGATGAAGGGATGTTCTGTCTGTATTTGTAGGCCAGCTCCTTGAAGGCTCGCAGGCCACAGCAGAAACACAGGATGGCGTTTGCAGAGATACGACAATCTGAGAGAAGATCGAGTGTTATTGCTCTGATTCTAAACAGCACTGTGTACAGTGCATCTGCAGCACTCACTTTCAGTGGACTCACCTGTCAGAAGGTAGTTTCCTTGCTGTAAACCCTGCAAAGAGTCCTTCAGCAGATCTTTCCAAGACTGCCCCCTGGAGGATAAGTAGTTCTGGTGGAAGGATGGAAAGAGTACATGCTGACATACAGGTCACAGGTTGTAAGATGACTGCATTTATTTGGTGCTTTACACCACTGCATTAACTATTGCACTGGAAATAAGTGGTCAACGAAAATACTGACTCATAAAACAATGGACAAAAGTCCATCTTACCCGGAGGACCTCTGATTCGTAGTTATTGTTGTTCAGCGCACCATCCAGGCATTTGTCAGTCAGGTTGAGGTCTGAAAAAATGCAAAGTGGATTTTAATTGTCAACATAATAATAACACTAATGAATTAGCTGATTCACAGTTCTCAGACCATTTCAAATTTTAATTTCAGAGTAAAAACAACAAACAGTTTTTGGAGAGTTTTTTTAAATGTGTTAAAAAGACAACAGTTGACAACAAAAAGGCTTTGAATGGGAATGAGTGCTGTTTTTCTTAAGGTAATGAATTTCAGATACTGTTCATCTGCTGCAAATACTGTGTTTTTACAGTATTGTGTAAAGCTCTTTAGGAGTAGTGCTTTATCTCAACTGTTTAGCTGCTACAGTACTGTACTTAATGAACTCTTATTATTGAAAAACATACCAGTTATAGTTTAATGCCTCTAATAATAATAATAATACATTTTCAGAGTGTTAGATCATACACTGTATTCACCATAAAATAATGCTACGTCTAGTGTTTAGGATTTTTGTAAACATAGCTCATATAATAGGAAAAAAGAAAAATACAAATATTGGATTTGGGCACTATTCAGGATTCAGTCCTTTCAATTAGAGGCCAAAACAAATCCCACAAGGGTGAAGGTTTACAGTGAACACAGGATATCCTGGAGCTATTTCGCTCAAACAGATACATACCACAGAATCGAGCCAGACAGCCCTGACAACCGATCCTCTGGCAACCCCAGTACATATGACAGAAAGGTCGTTGGCACAGCACACCTGCCAAAACACCACAAATCATCCATCTAAGGTGCAAAAAAATCTATTTATAGATATGATATGACTCACAAATTTGGAATTTATCCATCAGTCGATTCTATATAGAATACATACCACAAGGCTACATAAACAGAGCAGCCTTACACAGTCCACTGTGCACCGGCTTACAGTCTTGTATTATCTGACATGATCTCTTTGCATTTCACTATAGTTGCATGCAAATTTCTGAGTGACAGTCAAATTGTAGTCAATCATATTCAGTCAACGCAGACGTTACATTTCAGCAGACGGACTAACAGGTGTTGATGCCACTCACATTGTTGAGCAATAACCTGCTGGTTGCCGAGCTCGGCCCGTCTGTCTGGCATTGGCTGGAGGCAGCAGGTGCATATGAGATGGCAGCCCTGAGGGGGGCAGCGGTACTCCTGAGGAGCTGCAGGCAGGAAAGAAGTGTTGGACAAGAGCCAAGATGCAAAGATGTGTTAGCAAATCAGGAGAAATGTTGCTGTTGTGCTAAAGGGGGCTTTAACATGCACTGTCTGACCACACAATCATTCTTGTTTAACGCGTTTGGTGTTAGAGTGCCAACCACAAAGACGCCTATTTATTAGGGGTGCAACGATACACAAAATTCACGGTTCGGTTCGATACTTTGGTGTCACGGTTCGATATTTTTTCGATACAAAAAAAAATGTTCATGCCTTTTTAATTTGTCATTTATTAAAATTATAAATATATATTTTAACTCAAAAGTACAGTTTTTAAATTTAACCCTAACCCTTGTGCGTGTTTTTTATTTTGACAGGGAATGCGCACCTGCGGACCACTTATGTGCAGCCCTGGTTATTTAGCTCGTCATATCGCAGCCACAGAAATTCTTTTGTCCATGAAACCATAAAGCTGCACTTTCTTTTTGCCTTATAGTCTGATTTGTCATAACTTCTCCGTTTTGTGGTAAGCTTTTCTTTGGCTGTCACTTCTTCACCCTGACCTGTCTTATTTGGCTCAGCAAAACTAAAATATATATCTGTCTGTGAAGGTTCTCAGTCATCCAGGTCATCATAGTCAAATATATATCCTGCTGCTTTTACACACTCACTCACATAAGCTCAGCGATTCTCTGCGCGATCAACCTCTCACATGTTTAAGCTGCGGGAGATTTCACTTGTCATGTTTGCATAGTAAGCTAACGATTAATAAGACGATGTCAGAGGAATTGGTGCGCAAATTATCATCACTCACAGATCAGTGCTGTCGCTCTCTATACACAGTTCGCGCGATTGCAAAGTGAAAGCAAAAAAACAAGCGCAAATTCAAACGCGATTTCAATATGTCACATATTGACAGTGGCTCACCGATGCCAATGACATAATTACCCAGCTACATTTCTGAAAGAATGCAAAAGCATTGACATATATTTTTCCTACAATAGCCCGACGGGCAGGGAAGAGATAGATTTTGGTAGCCCGACTGAAAAAATCGCTAGCCCCAGGACGTCGGGCTAGCGATATTGTGAGCCCTGTATCTGATTGAGGAATCACTCATCTTTGGAAAAGAGAGTTTATTACAGAGAAATGTCTCTTTCCAAAATAAAAGCTATACTATCCGCTTCTTCTGGGCTATATTCTCAGCAGCATAAGGAGAATCACGTGCTAACAGCTGTCTAAATGACTCGGCTAAAGTTAGTAGCATGCTTGTTGTTTTTGTCTTTGCACTAGGATGATGTCGGCGTAAATGTGCAGTCATATTCGTTGTGTTCCCACTAGTGCTTTCAGGTTAATCTCGTTGAAATGACCTTAACGCCACAACACGGCAAATCTCCGTTAACGAGCTACCGCCGATCGCCCGTGCATGGGGCTGGACGGCCAACACGTTAACGAGCTAACTGCGCTAACACACTAGTTCCCACCCATGTAATTGAGCATTGCATGGCACATCCAACATACTGTTTTACTTTAGTCCATGACGCGCTTACCTTCAGGGTCATACATCACATGAAAACCAAAATAATTCCAAATGCCAGATCTGAATGAGGGTGGGGGAGGTCCATGTTGCAAGGAGAGCTTAACTTCTGTCTTGCTAGCTTGCCCTGCGCTCTTCCTTCTGACTATGCTGTCTGTGTTGAGCGCTCAGTGGATCTGCGCTCGACAGTGCAGCCTAGGCGGAGTAGTCGAACGCAGAGTCACTGAGCGCTTAACACAGACAGCATAGTCAGAAGGAAAGTTGATAAAATAAATTACAAATGTTGTATTGTTCGATACATATGCATACCGAACCGAAAGCACTGTATCGAACGGTACAATATCGATACGAATATCGTTGCACCCCTACTATTTATGCCACTATTTACAGAAAAACAGACACAGTGGTGACACGACGGCATCTATAGCTGAGCAATAGCAGTTATTTTATTACATTTCCTAAAATCTTTGATTTTTCCTCTAACTTACACTCATTATTATTATCCGAGGATGTTGAGGGCATCTCTGCTGAGGCCTTTGCAGCCGCCTCCTCGCTAACTGGGTTGGGAGGTGGAGGCATAGGCTGTAGACTTGGCAGACCGGGGAACCAGTAGCTTGAGCTCGAAGCAAAGAGGAGCTGGTTCACATCACTCCTGTAGCCAGGACACTGTCTGCACATCACCAGAGGCTGACTGGAGACAAGGAGCCATCACAATAAGATTTTGTTCGCTACAACACCTATCTAAAATGATTTTACAGAAAAATATGATTTGAAACAACAGAAGAAACAAAACTACATGTCAGGTTTATTACTGATTTATTACCTGATATCTGAGGAGTCACTGTCATTATCAGAGAGCTCAAAGAGGTAATCTGAACTGCCCTCTTCATCAGAGAAAGAGCGCTCAACTTTTGGCTGCAACATGTCCTGAGTTATCTTGTTACGGCTGTCCATGCTTTTCAGGTCGTCCTCGCTGCGACACTTTTCTGTGGGACAGTTTGTTTAGAATGAGCTCATTAAGGAAATCAAGTAAAGTTAAGTGCGCCGATCTCTCGTGTTTCATCAATGGTACACAAAAAGACAAAAATCTGTGCAGGTTTACAGTGGCTGAGGGCAAAGAGCAAAATAAGACTTAAAAAAAGGGGGGTCCACTGTGCACACCTGGATGCTGGATGAGGTAGGCCTCTACCAGGTTGTTGAGAATGTGGTTTTTATGAATCCTCTCCACAGGGCAGCGGCAGGTGGGGCAAAGGGAAGAGCGTTCCATCCAGCCAGAATAGCAGGCAGCACAGAAGACATGCATGCAAGGCTGCAAACTACAGGAAAAAAAGAAAAAACCAAACCCACACCTTTATTGGCATAGGATCAGACATTCCCAACAGCTGGAAGCTGCTAAACAGCTGGAAGCTGCAAAGAGATTAACCAGGTTCTACCATTTAATAATGATCCTAGTCATTGCTCCATGAGCATTGCTGGAGGTGAGGTAAATGAGGAAGCACCCTGGTGAGACTTTCTACTTGGTTCCCACCATACTGCTCACTCACATCACTCTAAACACCTTGGACCAGGCACATAAAGGACTATTTCTACCGCCAATAGAAAGTATAGCTACCTGCTATCTACATGCAACTACTTTCATATCGCTGCAAACGACTACCATAGCTGCACTACACCTAGACAGGGTAATTTGCACCGTGCGGGTTTTACAGCTCCATCCAATGGCTTCATTTAGGGAAATGTGACCACCTGTTATTGTTCTTGGTTTCTACCTAAAGGCAGAAATTATAGCGATCTCATGCACACTGAGATACTGTTCAATTGTAATGGAAAGCGACTGAAATTGAGTAGTCTAGTTAAGTACCAGTAGAAAAGAGGCTAAAGCGAGCGACAGGTCAACACCCTGTGTGCTTTGTTTCAAGCTTGTTAGAATTGCACAAACACTATTTTTGCCACATATACTGTTGGGCAGAAGCAGACACCTTCTTTTTATTTTTATTGTAACTTAAACATGAAAGGAAAAAGAAATAAATCAGGTCACCTGACACAGTCATGTAGCAGGTCCTGGCAGATAACACATGTCAAGCTTTCCTCCATCTTATCCGTCTTAGTCCCTTCTACTGGTGGTTTTGAGGAACTAACCACTTCTGGCCTTGAGCTGCATGGCACACCTAATTCATAAGATTTATCTGTAAACACAGTAGGTGCACATTATAAATCAGAACACACACAAAGCGTGAGATTAAAATGAAATGTGGCTTGGAACATGATGGCTCTGACAAAATCAGAGAAGTTAAGGGAATCTAGTTTAATCTCAAAGTAACATATTCATTAACCATCATCGGTTTTCCTCCTCTTGCTTGTTGGCTCCAGGTTTTCTGTTTCTTCCTCCTGTGTAGTGGTTGGATCGTTAGCTTGGCCTAATGAGACAAAAGAACAACAGTTGTGGGTCAAATAATGACTTCAATGCTCTAAACTACTTGTTTTTAATAGATCACAGATTACAACATTTTCCAATTAAGTTTAGTCTGGTCTAAATTTATTGGATCAACCAATACATGACTATCCATCCATCTCTCTCTCTTTATTTTTTTAGTGCAAGTGGAACATGAAAATTATACTGTAGACCGTTTTACAGCTGTATTTTAAATAATCCCACAAACTTTCAAGGATAAACAAAAGCAAACTACCAGACATTCAGTCAACTGTGGTTCAAGCAAATAAATAATACATAAATAAACAAATACAAATTCTGAGAAACACAAGAGCCGTATTATATAAACGAGGTGGCCAGTGAGGCTCGTATATGGATCAGCTGTGCTACTTGACCAGAAACCTGATGTGGTAGCAAAGTATGACACCAGTGTCCAGTTTACTAAATCCATTTATTTTTGACGTAAGCATTGTTCTGTAATGTTGCCGAGATCACATTTGCAGTTAAGTGCATTTAGTGGTGGTGAGCGCGACTTTATGTGTTTGTAGGAGTCTTTAATCCCATCAAACTTCAGACACGCTGGTCGGCACTGCAGCTCTATGTTAAGACACTTATCAACTCCAAGTGCTCTAACCTACAACAAACGTGTCATGCTGAAAAAATAAACAGCACTTACTTACCAACCTGTTGGAAACAAATGATACCAACCTGGCTTTTTGTGAAACTTTCAGACTGTTCTCTTTTTAAAATCACGTTTATTCATTTTAAATCAGGTAAGTTATTTTGAGTGTGAACACAAGGTACCAGCAGCCCAGCTGTCTAAGCTGGTGTAAGATAAGGAACATTTACTTAGTTTGAATTAAAAAAATAAAATAAAGTCATATTGTGAGGTTCTATTGAGCAGACAGTGTCACTTGGTAATCTGTGACCAGCTAACATGGTTGTGTGTCCCGAATAATGAGCAGGTGTTAAACAGCTGAGGGTGTACAAGATGTATGCAGGTAACACAAGTGTTTCCATGGAGCTGATCTGTTAGCCTAACCTGATATGACCAACTATTCCAGCCACGTGATTGGTTCAGCATGGTATTATTCTCATTGGCCTTTTGTGTTCTGGCAAAACATGGATGAAATGACTTCTATTGACCATGTATCATAACTCTGCTGAGGATAGCTTCTTTTACCATAATCATCTTTGTTTATTTACTGCAGAGAGTGACTGTAAAGAAAATGGCACCGTACCAGCAGAGTACTCTGAACCTAAGATTTCAAGATTGAGAAACAAATCAATACACAAAGCAGATGAAAGCAGACAGAAATGGCAGTTAAACACCGGGCCAGATATAATCAATAATGACCAGCTGGACACGTGCCAAACAATAAAGCTGAATTAGCGTAAAGTTCAGTATTGATCAGCTGTAAATCATCTTCTTCCCTCACTAACTGTAATCAGAGTTTCAAAAAGCAGCACAGAGTCCTCACAGCTCACTGTCTGCTCCTCTACAGCAGTTAATCATCCGTCACACTGTCAAAACACATGAGCTGGTGGTACCAATTTATGTCAGAACAATTACATTATTATTATTCTCAATATTCATTTCTACAACTATATTTTACTAAACACCTGCAATATTATAATTTTTTAAAGCAATAACAACCAGACTTTAGACAGCTAAAACAAACTACACAGGGACTATATTAATATAACCTATTTGGTGGCTGCCTTCCAGAGGAATTAGAGAAATTGGGAAAATGGGAATGCCAGTTTTAGTCCACGTTTATTGGACTCTCTCCATCAAAGAGCTGAAGCTACATGTGGAACAAAAGCAGGAGAAAACTGCTCACATTGCTCTGCTCAGAAGTACAGAAAGCCACCAAATAGCATCTCTACTGCTCAGCAATTAACACATATTTTACTTGTCTCATCTGGAGAAAATAGTATTGTTGTCTTTCTAAGGAGTTCCCTGCAACAAACTTCTGAGAGCCATGACCACAGAACACTATTCCCACCAAAGCAATCTAAAGATCCTGTAGTTAGTCCATGCAGCAGGCACAAGGGGCTTTGTATACCTCAAATGCAGAGTGTACCGGGGATTTATCTGAAACACACTTTTATTAAACGCTGCCATTTTTCCTAATAGAGATGCACCGATTGACCAATTTTCAGTGTTCTGAGTCAGACCAACCGGCTGGTCACCCTCCCATATATCAGATGCTCAACACACACTCACAGCAGCCACAAGCTAACATGTAGCTAGCATGGAAGCTCTTCAACGTGACTGAAAACATGAAGTTTGGTAAAGCATGAAAATATTCTTAACAGCAAACCTGATCAGACGCTGAAATCACCTTCCCTCATTAACATGGAAATTTAAAAACACGCTAACAAGAATAAAGTGGCTAAAGGTAAAAATATCTCCAGCTCAAAGCCACAAACCAGTATGAGCCTTCAGTATGAAAAAAAGCAGTTAGAAGTAGAAAACTGTGACGAGTGGAAAGAAGAACAAGGCTGATGTTATAAACATACTAGAAAATGATGTGAGAACATGGCATTCGTCGTTTTTTATGAATCTGTTGCACCTGTGTTTGGTTGGTAAGGTAAATTATATCAGATTCAGGCAGGTATAGCAGCTCATCTCCATTTAATTATCTGTCCCTCCTTCCAGTAGCAGAAGCTTTCACTGTAGCTGTTTGAGTGAGAGAAAATCTCGTAACTTACTGCAGTTTAGGGGAATTTATAAAGTGCACCTATAATTTCTAATTAACTGGTCATGTGTAAACAGCCTGATGTCTTATTCTAAATTCCTCACATTAGCCCTTTTAATATTTTACAGTGTAGAAATGTTGTAATTGATGACCCATCCTGTGAGATCAATTAGATACATTTCCTGAAACACCAACACAAAGACTGTCCTCCAGCTTTACTGATCTCACTTGGAGTAAATACAAAGCAAAAAGAATAGAATTTCAACTTCAATACTTATATATCACTGATAAACCATTTCTGAGGTCATGGGGGGTTATTATTTATTAAAAGATAACTACAAACATGTGAATGTGGTGCTTTTTGTTTTGTCAGAAGTTGCAACACTTGAGTTTCTCATCTTAATGTTCTTTGATTTAAAGCTGAAATATTTTGAAACAGCGTTCCATCAGTTTCTTTATGCACCAAAACCGGTCAGAGAGACTCTGCACTTGTTTTTAACACCAAATCCAAACAAGTAACCGGAGCAAATGAGAAAATTAAAATAAGAAGACAGCGCAGTGAGTGAATGAGTAGGCGAGGCAACGTGTCCCACTGCAGTGAGTGTGTCAGCTTGCTGTCTGACAGAAGAGTGGGCGAGAAAGCGCAGGTGCTATCAGTGTTCAGTGCTGTGTCAAATCTGTATTTAGGTATTGTAATATTTCAGAAAAAAAATGCTTTTTGTGTTTGGCCCTGGAGCAGGTCATCTATTAATCGGAAGGTTGGTGGTTCGACCGCTGGCTGCTAAAGTCTGCATGCCAGAGCATATCCTTGGGAAGGCTGCTCCTGGATCATCACAATGTTAGCTAGAAAGCACTTGGACATACAAAGGAGTGCTTGTGTGAATGAAGCATGTTGTATAAAGAGCTCAAGTGTTCAAGTAGAGTAGAAACATGCTATATAAGAAGCGGCCCATTTATCATTTCATTCAAAAGACGTGGCTGTTAACTCTTTTTCTATTTGAAGACGTAAAGTAATTTAGAGAAGCTCCAAACGGTAAATGTACATAATGTAAGACTTTAAAGAGTGATTTTTAATCTTATGAATACTCCCCGCTGTCCTTTTGCACACCAACCTTTTAAAAGTGCGTGAGTAGAGAACCCACCAGTCACAGGAGAGCCTGTGGTTGCCATGGCACCAGAAGAGTAAGCAGTCTCAATACAGAAGTGTGAAGCAGAGGTAGAGGGTTGAGGTTCCTCCTGAGTTGCATCCCGAGGAGCCTTTGAGAGCATTACAGGCTCTACAGAGAGGGCCATCTCTGAACCTGGAAGAGGAGGAGGACGGCTGTGGGCTGAAGTCTGAGTACAGAGTGGGAGATGACTAACAAAACAAACAGAAGTAAAGATCTACCGAGTTCAGCCACAACATTAAAATCACAGACAGATGAAGTGACTCGTTTTGATCGTGTTGCTTTTGTGTAATATGCTGCTGGTGAACAGTAGCCCATTGCATTCATGTAACTAAGTGGCATGTACCACCCACCAAGCACTGATACCGACCAGCTCTGGACACCACAGGACACTTTAAGGACAGGCAGGGCTCCCAGAAACTGAGTGTGTTTTGGTAGCACAAAGGGGTACCTTCACAACATTAGCCAGGTGGTTTTAATGTTGTGTGTTGTGGCTGGTTTGTGTAATTAGCTCCTTTTGACAAATTAACTGTGGGGAACTACTCAGGTACTCACCATAATTGTGTTGTGAAGCGGTTTGATCCAGTTTGATGGAGTGGTAAACATAGGCGATGTCTACAGGGTGGCAAGAGCACACAGCGTACGCGTTTTTGTCTTCATATACACACATACAAAATAATATATCATTGTTATAGTTCACAAATTCAAAACTCACTTTGTTCAGGTTCACTTTTCCTGTACACAAAGTAGATGACATCGCCATTCTGCAGCATGTGAGTTTGTTTCTTGACCAGTTTGGACATGTTGATCACTGTGCCATTAGTGCTACGGACAGACAGACATGATATTTAACTATACTGCTTATACTAGGGCTGCTCAATTAATCGAATTTTAATCACGATTACGATCTGGGCTTTCAACGATCATTAAAAATGACTGAGCCGATTATTAGCCCCTCCCTCGTGCTTTCCTCTCGCGCTGCTCCGTGTGACAAATCGAGCGCACCTCTCTGCGTTTCGAACACGTGTCACAACAATTAAGAGCAGCGGTCTCCAACCTTTTTTGCGCCACGGACCGGTTTATGCCCGACAATATTTTCATGGACCGGCCTTTAAGGTGTCGCGGATAAATACAACAAAATAAAACTAGTACCGGTACCGAAAAAAATTAGATTTATTCATAACACACGTGAAAAGACCCAGGAAAACCGAGTTAACGATAAAAACGATAACAAAATAACGCTGAAAACCCTGAAAACCATACATTTCACACCTGAGCCTCAACTCTCGCGGCCCGGTACCAAACGACTCACGGACCGGTACCGGTCCGAGGCCCGGGGGTTGGGGACCGCTGATTAAGAGGACCCGAGGGAAGCTTGGAAAGCTGAGCAGAAGTTATTTGGAGAGGAGAGTGACTGCTGTTGGTTGAAAAGAGAGGTAAAAAACTTCAGTGGTGTGGAAACATTATGGGTTGGCGGAGTCAGACGTGGATCAAGTAGACATAGTGTGTAAACTTTGCTACGGTGTCGTAGCTGCACCACAGAGCAACACTGCAAAGTTCACTAAACATAGATGTTTACATTTTTCATTGATTTCTTATATTGCAAACATTTGCACTGTTATCAGTATTTGCACACTATTTTATATATATTTTTGACAATCTTTAAAGTCATTATTCAATACATTGTTATTGTTAAATATCGTCAAATAATCGAGATCTCAATATCAGTGAAAATAATCGTGATTATCATTTTTGCCATAATAGAGCAGCCCTAGCTTATACGTCTGCTTTACAAAGGGGCATTATGAACAAATACGAACTAATGCTCACCATGTCCCACTTAAATATTCAGTGTGTGAACTGTCCATTTTTGTACTAGGTAGTGAAGATGTGCATTTTTTTGCAGCGGGGGAAAAAAACTGATCCAGCAGAGTGATATTGTGGTCATATTGTATCAATACAGGCCTCCGTATATCAACACTTTATTAAATGAATTGAAAAATCTCTGAGAATAGAACAAGCAGTCATCTCATGTGCCACTATCCAAACAAACTTACATTAAATCAGCTCAACTGAAAAATCAACACTCTTATCTTGACAAAACTGCCTCCTAATAAACAACAGTTTTTGATTCCAAGGCGATTACACAGGTCACCTGATAAAAGGCAACCTTTCTGCAAACAGTCACAGTCTGACTTGTACTGACTGCAGTCACTCTCAGACAGACTGTCAAAAGTTTGCAAACAACTGCGGTCTAATTTATAAATGCCTACATGTTGCCATCAGTCTGAATGAGTCTTTGTTAATGAGCACATCTCGAGGGGACTCGATTCAGCTGGCTGCCAGCTGCTTGTATTCCTATAAAACAGGAAGGTGGCTTAATATATTGTTTAAAATCGCAAAATCCATAATAGGCTAGCAAGTTACGATGCTCTCAGATTAATGGAAAAAAGTGAATGACTGAAAAGGAGCTTTAAAGTGTATGCGTCTCCTTTTTCTTTTCCCTCTATCTCAGTAGGACATTCTCAACCTGGTGGTACACGTTTCTGATAACTCCCAGTGTCTTTTCAACCAACTTCTTCTAAGAGTTTTATTTCTACTCAACGGTGCAGCAGAGAGCTTATTATTTTTTATAATGATATTTAGTTTGGCCCACTGGGAAAACAAGCAAATGATATGAGTGGTACAAAAGTTCAGCCTGGAGTACCTCATGTCTTCAAGCCACACCAGCCCTGAGCTTTCATCTTTCACAATCTTGCAGTGCTCCCCTGAGACAAGTTTATTCGCTGGAAAGGAAAGATAACATCCTGGAAACAAAAAAATGAAAATTGCTATCATGAAAATATAGAAATTCCTAGTTTTTCTGCTTTTAAAAGCCCATCTCGAGAGAACATTATAGGTTATAAAAGGCACCTGTAAACCATTACAGCACAAACATATTTTTAAATCCCCCTCCACCAAACATTCTATAACAATGCTTCGTTAATCCAATACTATCTATATTGAGTTTTTAATCTTTAGCCAAATTTAAGCCTTTAAAAACATCGCATGTTATACCTGAAATTGTGCTGCTGTGACATTTTTAAATCATTCACTGCCCAGACATAAGCAAACTAATTAAACCTAGCAGTTTTGCATTGCAAAAAGGCAGACCCCCAAAAAGCACTCGACAACAAAAGCAGACACAGGGGGAATTATAGACCTAACCTTTTCTTTAGTAAAAACCCAAACAAAACAAAAAAATCTACTTAATATTCTGCACGCATGTTCTCGATGGATGTCTTTTGTTCTCATCACAAGGGCCTGTCTAAGTTTGGTTCACTAAAAGAAAGCTTTGTGTTTTCAAGGGGGAGGTTTCAAAAGCTCCAGACACTGACAGCAACGTCTGCGCTCCTGACAGGACTGTCATTTGTTAATAGGCATCAGAAAATTAAGCGTTTCAAAACAAAAGGAGATAAAAACAAAGCAAAACAAACAAAAAAAATGCATTGAATTTAATGCCAATCGTTTCTCGTTCCCAAACACAGTCAAACTTAACCACCTTTTTTTCTGCCAACCGTGCATTCACTGTTGAACAGCATCACAGTTTCACTGGAGTCCACTTTGACAAGCTTCCCCCACGCTCGTCCTCTCCTACTGTCCATGTCCCAGGATGCGTTGTTGTGTTTCTTCCCCCCCTTTTTCTACAGAAGTTAAGAGAAAACAAGTTTCACTTTGGCGTTTTTTCAGGGGATTTCCTAGAAACATGGTAGCAGAGAGAAAGTGAAATTAAATTTCTGCCTATGATAAAATTACAAAGCTCTTTAATTTCTTCGTCACTCACACCAACTATTAACAGTTAACAAGAAGCAAATGCTTACATTTAAAAACACTGGTGTTCTTATAGACACTAATAATAATTAGAAATTATTTTTTTCAGATTAACACACAAGAGCCATACGTCAACCCAGCATTTATTTTACTAAGCTTGTTTTTTTGGTTTTTTTTTTTTAATATTTTATCATTACTTTTTAAGCCGAATAATTCTTCGAACTGTGTTTATGAAGTCCTGTTAAACATATCTAGTTTTAAACATCATGTTTACGTGTAGGATGAGTTTACAAACAGACTAAACACGTTAGTGCAGAAATGCACATTATTACATCAGCGAAGCTACATTAAACTGAACGAATCTCTCATGAAGTTTGGTACGAAATGATGGGGGGGAAGACCCCCCCTAACGACACTGGGCTTAGCTTGACATACGTGAGTTTGCCTGCTACATAGCTAAACTACTAGCTGACTATGCTCTGCTACATGTTAGGGGGGGAAAGGTTATTTCAACTGTCAGCTATCAAGGTGACAACTTCTTAAATACGAGGTGCGGCGAGTTACCAACACACACGTATACACACACAACTTCAATAATAAGCTAACGCGACTGCTAACATTAGCAGCCGTTCATATTTTGCGACCAAGACAAAAACGGGAGTACTTCGGTGCGAGTACTAGCAATGTCTGTAACGTCGTTTATATGTCGTGTCGGAAACGGTTTCCCTACCGTCAAAAGCTTAGTTTGTTATCCCAGAAGCTGCGTGAAAACAAGCTTCTCCCGTTCATGTTCCAACTAGCTTCAGGCACAAGATGCACTTCCTGCCCAGCTTTGGGTTGACCGTCATCAGCTGATGGAGGAGGGGCACGTCGTGGATTCACTGGGTTCAACTTCCCACAGACTGCGCGTCTCCTCTGGTATCAATACGACACCAAGTAAAAACAGGGCCAGTATTTCCAATACAGATACTTTACTTTTATTATATAAAGGCAGCTTATGTAGGTGAGAGCAGCGTGTCACGATTTAGGAGGCGAATTATCATCAATTTGCAAATTCTGAGCACATTTTAATGACCACCAAGTCCCTGCGATTTTTTCTATCCCACAATTCTTGGTTAACACAACAAAACACATCTTTCAGCTTTTCATGGGTTTGAAACCGAGATTTTTTAGAGAGCTGGAATACAAATGGTAATGTAAATATTTTTGATTGTTTAAGTTACTGTAGGCTATAAATAAAACAGATGTAACAATCAACACAAAAAGGCTCATTTGAGGCTTATTTTTCCTTTCCAAAAAAAAACAAAACAAAAAACCAGAAGGCTGTTTTGATGAAAAGTATTGATCCTAGTATTGATCTGACACCAATACCAGCGGTGGTATCTATAGAATCAATATTTGGATTGATCTGCCCACCTCTGGGTTCTAGATGAGATACTCCCCCCCCCTTATACGCACACTTAGAGCTGAAGCACCTGGCTGTCCTCCACTGCTGACAGGTAACGATGAGGAGGTAGATAAAGTACTCCAGACATTTCTGGTCTTCCAAAGTTGAATGCTGCAGGCTTGAGTAATGAAAATGTTCCAGCTCGACTCTAAATTTAATTTTTGCAAACCAAATGTCTTGGCTTCGTACCGCTGCACCTGTACATGCTCAAATACTGGACTGTCAGAAATACATGAATCAATATGGATTTGTGGGCCTTTGTGTTTCACTTAGTTCCAGCAGATATTTCCAGTAAGTAAATCTGTTTATTCCATTCAGTCCTTAAAGTTTTCAAAACAATAACTGGGATTTGAAGAGGGGCTGGTGATAAGCTCCAAAAGAGCTTCACAGCGGACTTTGTAGCGAGGTTATTTTGTTGTTAACAACACAGGAACAGTCTCTGCATGAATATGCAAAACCTATCCCTCAAGCTATTATAAACAAGACAGCATGACAGACAAAAATATTTTCCCCATTAAAATTAAAAGGCTGTTAAATTTCCTGAGTCCCCACATGAAGTATTTTTTTGCATGCCTTTGTGTTTTGCCTTATAGAGCTGTCATATTTTGCTGCATCACCAGCTTGTAAACATCCCAGAATCAGCAAAACCTCAGCCAATTCTTTATGTCACTCACTAAATAGATTTAGATATGTTTTTGCACACTGACACATTTTTCCTGCTAAATTTGACCTCTGTGCACACCACAGTGGATTTTAAATCAAACACTCAACATCCTTTTAGCTTTAATTCAAGCCTTTAAGAAAGGTTTGCATTTGAGACCATTTATATACAGTCTCTAATTTTCAGAGGCTCAAAATTATCTGGAAATCTCACAGGAAATTTCCAGTGAACTCTGATATCCAAACAGATCTGGATGCAAGTGAGACAAATTATCCTATCAGAGAGATGATAAAACCTTTAGCAGTGGCTAAATATACAAAATACTATAGAAAGCAGAAATGCATTGGCCAGCTCAGCAACACTGAAAGGGCTGAAAGACTGCAAAGAAATGTAATGGATGAAACTCCTTCATGATATTTAGCCAAATGAGGAACTCTCTGAAGAAGGCAGGTGCACACTGTCAAAGTCTACAATCCAGAAAGTGGCTTCACGAATTTGAATACAGAGAGTTTACTATGAGATGCAAATACCTGGTTCCACTGAAAAAACAAACATCTGAAATAGGCTGCACAGCTGTCAGGCATGGTGGAGTCAGTGTTATAACATGGGCATGTTTGACTGCAAGTGGAACCAAGTCACTAGTGTCTACTGATAATCCGAGTGCTCTGAAATGTACAGGGCTCTACGCTCTGCTCAGATTCAAACAAATGATTCAGATACTGTTCACCTGCTGTAAGAGGTTCTTTTAGGTCTCCCACTTATTCTTTTTGTCCTCCACTTGTCCAGTCTAGTAAGGACACACTATGGCTAACATCTCTTTGGAAATCACCTTGTTGGTGAACAAGGCAAAAACAGAATTTTGTGTATTTATTTTTCATAGATCCAACTAAAGAAATGGGGACAAATATGTTTGCAGCATCCTGGTAGCAAAGTGTCTAAAGACAGAAAAGAACTGGTTGTCTGTCATGTGTAAACACAACAGTGGTTCAAGAACTAGATAAACAAAAACACCCCTCCGACAATGATCAGGAACAAGGACTGGACTGAAAAGGAGCATAAAAGCAGCCATTGTCCAAAGAAAAACTTTGATCTTTAAAAACGTGGAGTAAGAAATAATACAAAAAATATAAAGAACTTGGAGGTGGCTCAAGACTTTTTCACAGCACCATTTGAACACACTTAATGATGACACTACTTCTACACTACAACAAGCATATCTTTCTTCAAACACAGTAAAAAACTTTTTTTTCCTTCTATTCTTCAACATACTTTGAGAGTTCGAGAGGGTAATTAATGCAAAGAAAAATGTAGGTTCTTCTGCCTTTGCACCATTTTAATGCAACTTAAATGTGTCATACAATGCTTGGATCTCAAGTAAAATGTCTATGGTATACTTATAACTGTTTATGTGGTATCAAATAAGCCTGTGAATGCTTTAAGTTACCTGTAACATGCAGGACCAACATTTTGTAGTCAGGAAAAACAGTCCCCAACATTTAAAACTCAATCCACCAAATGGTTCGCGCATCTTTCCTGGTAACACGACAAGGCTCCATTTCAAGCTCCTAAAACTCTCAAGGTTCCTTAAAGATGTGCTGGGAATTAATTGCACAGATATATTTCCACACAGTTTTGGGAACTAAATGAATTTTACTGTACTGTAATGTGACCTATATTAAGACATGACTCACCTGCACCAGTTTTCTGTGTTTCGTATGTAGCAAATACTATTACATTAATGCATTTGAAAGTTAGGAGTAGTTGCTCATCCACTCCAGTTAGACGCAAATAGTTATGCAACTACAGATGCACAGTTATTAAATGTACATTTACTTTGTCTTGATAGGAAATCACAGTGCTTCTAGTCGCTTTTCACACTGCAACGACTAATATAATATAATATAGGATTCCAGTCCCGTTACAAGTGGGCTGATTCTTCTTGGTTAAAAAAGACCAAGGTGTCTCTGTAAAAGCAAACGAGTCCTTAATGAAGGACTAATCTCAGCAAACCTCCATCTACTCTGTGCCAATGTATTATTAATGGGCAGGCGGCAGGATGGTGAGCGCAGGGCCCTCTCCTCACTAGCGCATTCATTCCTCGCTGCTCCATATCTGCTAGAGAAACTGCGCAGTGCGCACGTGCTGGAACACACGCGTGTTGTGCACACACGCGCAAACAAAGGTGTGCCATCTATTAAGAAACATTTTTAAGGGAGATTATTAACCTATTAGATGGCATTCAGTGGAGAACGCGAAACCTCTACAGATCCCCTGATATAGTCACAACATCAAATTGAAGGCAGCTTATTGAATCCCATGCGCACGCTCACGTCAATCGGCATTTCCTAATTGGATCAAAGATTACTTGTGGCAGCTGCATGAAACATCAAACGAGTAATTAAATGAAATAATGAGAAAATAAACCTTAATGTTGCCAAGTGGGAATGGAGGCGAGCTGAAGAACGTGATTTGGCTGTGTTCTCTGAAATTATCTCTCTCCGGCTCGGGCTAATTGCTGGAGGATGTCCTCTTAACTAAGTGTGAAAGGCTGTGTCTAATTACTGCAACATTAATCAGGCATTAGCATGTGATCACAAGGTTAACTTATCAGGAGGGGCCCAGAAGCAGCTGGATGTGTCATTCACCCGCAGTGCACTGGGCCAACTGGGCCACAAGGGGTAGTGCTTGTTCTTCCTGTGAGTCAATACCGAGAGACGCGCTGAAAGTGGGAGCTGAAATCAAAGGCAACCATGTTGGATTGGACCTACTGAGGCTTTCATATTCCTCGCTGTGGAATGGGAAATGCACCCGATCAATGTCAGCTATTTAATGCTCAGCGTGGAGCTGAAATGAGCGCATTTATCGTCAGAGGGGATTCAGATTTTTAAGGTTGTGATTTGTTAACGTCTTACTTTGCACAGACACGCCGGTGGAAAGATCTTTACTTGCACGGCTCCGTGTGAGGAATTACATGGGCTGAAAGAATCTGCAGAATCAATGTCAAGCAATTGCGTGCTTGGTGGAGCAGTGGAGTCCGATGTAATGAAGATTGACTGGATGGTGATTGCATCCTAAATTGCCCAACAAGAAGAATACACATAAAACATCAGCCGTAACATATTGTTCCAAAAAATACGAAACAACTATTTTCCACATAGCAGCATCTCTCTCTCTCTCTCTTAAATAAGCTTAAAAAAAGATGTGGTGACTGTATTTCTGTAAGGACTGAACTTGTGTGTTTTTGGTCTATTTTAGTAACATCTCAGTGAAAAATGTGCTTGATGTAATAGCACAAAGCTGCTTGTGCAACTCTGAGTCATCGCATGCCAAATGGCCTGCATGTGTGTAGATTAAAGGTCATTTCTGGCAGCAGGTTGGTCCTGTGCCCTGACTTCATTACCAGCAGGTCCAGAGTAGTCTCATCAGGATTCCAGCAGGGCAGAGAAGCCATACCTCCAGCAGCCCTGCCAAAGGCGCTCATTTGTCAGGGAGGCATGGAGATCACAGGCCGACAAATCTCCCACGTCTCCCAGACTGTCAAGCTCCTTTGCCTGCATATCAAAGACAAAGGGAGCAGAGCGGGAGAGTTAGAGAGCAGCCATTCTATTTGGAGATGGTCGGCTGTTTAAACCCCCCCCCAGGCGCGCCCTTCGAAAACGCCTATTAGCCTGGGCGAGAGAGATTACAAGCAAATAAAATTACATTCATTGTGATATTTGATTTTATAATACCCCCAGAAATATAATTACACAGCACTCACACTTTTCATTTAAAAACCATTC